CTTCATATAGTTCTTAACATTCTTTATTTTAAGTTTCTTTATGTTAAGAACTATTCTACTCGTACGTTATTATAATTGCCCGGAACTCTTTAAAAAATGCTTCTTCATGTTGAGAATTATACAAAAAGTATAATTTTTAAGTCAGAATTCTGAATTGTTTGTGTTTAGCTCGATCTGTTATTACATTAACAATTATCCTGTATTTATGTTTAAATAATTTTTTTTGCTTTAACTTTGACAGAACTTTTTATAGAACTCTTGTAGAACTATAAATCTTTCAAAATCTTGCATCGGCGGACATCGGAACTTATTTAGGACAAAGTGAGACGCGGCATGAACCTAGCGTCTCACTTTGTCCGAACCGATTTTTTTCGCTTTAATGAGCAAACTATTTATTTAATTTATCAGGAACTCTAGAACTATTCGAAAGGAAGTCAGAACTCTCAATAATTTGTGAGTTTCAGCGAAATGAGACGCCAACTTCACACACACATCTCTCTTGATTAATATTTTCAAAAAAATTATAGTTATAGTTTAATTATAGTCCTTTTACAATCTCTTGATGATTTTTATTTTAAATATCTTGATCCTTAATATCATGTTTTAATAGCATTTTGACTGTAAACAAAGGAATGACAGAAATACTACTATCATAGAATGGGATAGTTTTAAAATTAGACGTACTGAAGAAGAATGAAATTGAAATATTTGTAGACTCATGTATTTTATGATATATAATATATTTTATATGCTATATGCTATATAGCTATTTTATATGCTATATAGTTTGTTATACACTTATTGTCGTTTTAATATTGTTTATTATGTTCACTCGTATTGATTTTTTCTTTTAACAATTTATGTTTAATATCAAAACCTTAATATTATTATATATACAATGTTGCACCTTTATTAGCAGCTTCCCAAGCAACTTCAAAATTCCATCGATTTTCATGTTGAGCTGAATATCCACGATCCATAAATTCAAATAAATCATTAGTGCTATCTACACGATAAAATCTTCTGGAAGCACGTTCTCTTGACATTTTGTAAATAAACCTGCAATCTATATATTCATTTAATTTCAACAGTTTCAATAAAATTATATTTATCAAATTTTATAATGATATTTATCAAATTTTTTATAATTATATAATAATTTTATAATGATATTTATCAAATTTTTTATAATTATATAATAATTTTATAATGATATTTATCAAATTTTTTGCTAACATTTTATAAATATTTATATATTTTTACTGAACAGCAAATAAAATAAAGTGAACTCAGTAAATTAATTTAACAGATTGATAACAGATTGATCTATTAACAGATTGATAACAAATTTATAATTTGATTAAAAATTATTTGTAAACTGAAATCAACTGATATCTATATTAAGTTTATGTATTTCCATATAAACTGAGAACACATGTAAAAATTAAAAATATTAACTTATTTTTTTTATTCAATCTATAAAAAAGTGTATAACAAAAATTTTGAACTCTGTTTGATTATTGTATAAAATAAATTTTATTATGAAATTTTACTATTGTTTTACCAATAGAATTATATATATGATATTATGTAGCTAATTGTAGTGAACTTTTTTATCAATAAAAATTGCAATATCTTGCATAATCTTTTTGATACATTTTAACATGTCTAATATATAAAATATAGAATACGTGTGCTAATATATAACATATATTACTTATTAAAAACTTTGAGAAATTTAGAAATAAAATTATTTTCATCCATACTATTTCTAAGTTTAAATATTATCTTATTCAAAGAAATATTGTTGTTTACTACTAAAAGTTGTTTACTACTAAAGTTTACTACTAAAGTTAAATATTGTAGTTATTACTAAAATGAATATAATTTATATATTTATTTCAAAATAAAAAAATACAATAAGTATAGCAGAAATAAGTATAGCAGAAAATTAGTGGATGAATTCAAACGTTGTATTATAAATTAGAAATAGAAATAATTATAAATTAGAAAATAATGAGAGATTTTGGTCTTATTTTTAGAATAATTAAATCAGACAGTTTGAATCATATACGTATTTATCTTTGAACCTACAGGTCAATAACTTTTTATCATATAACGTTATCAGATTCGATTTTTTTTCCGTGAATCTGCGCACTCTAAAAACGCAGATCGTTCAAATGTTAATTAAAATTGTATGAAAATTCAATTAGTATCTAATTTCTTCTACACAGAATCGAACTGATGTATGTCTATATTTCTTTAAGAAGAGAACTAATTATTTTTCTTTTGCATTTCTAATTTCTATTTAAGTCTATATTTCCTGAATTACGTGATACGAATCAGAATTACGATCTTAAATACCATAATCGAAAGTCAATGACAAATATAGCCTTAAAATATTATTTTACCGATATCACGATAATTGAATTAAACAATCGCTGAAACAGTTTCTATCTTTTCAATCACCGTTTATGATTTCTCGCGTATCAATACGAACAAACACTACGCTCACGTTCAAATAAGAATCATCACGAATCACTACGGATTACGCGCAAGGTCAACAAGGACAAACAAGAGACGGATTGCAATACTGGCTGCTTCTAATATTCACTGCCAGTACTGAAAATATATAGTTCATGTCACGTATAGATTTTCAATGCTGGCAGTGAATATCGGAACCACTTACTATGTTTACACGGCGTTACTCCGGCTTACAGTAACAACCATATACTGCGTTTACACGGTGACGTTAAACCGGTTAGTAACAACTATAGTTAGTGATTTCTTGTATTTAATTGGGTCACAATTTTAGATTTAAAAGTATGTATCAATCTAACGTGAAATTTCACTAACTACAATTGTTACTAAACCGGATTAATGTCGCCGTGTAAACGTAGTAATAGTTATTGAGGAGCATAAATGAGGTCCTTTTTCGGTGCAGCTAAGGGTGCGTTCCTTTATTCACTCCGAGTGCTCATGCTATGACATAATGGAAGTGTACTGCGGTTATCGTTCCGTTTTACATAATTTCGTGCTTTTTAACTACTTCAAGATTATAGCGGAACACAGTTGCAATAATTTTTCTGAAGCTCCAACAAATAAATAATAGCTGACATATCTAATATTAAAAAAAATATAATTTATTGTACATATTAAATATATAT